TGGGGCTGTGTCTTAGCTCCTTGTCCTCAAGGCATGGTATCCGACACCCACAATTTAAAGGAGGACAGGTGTATTTTGGCTCACACCCATCGTCCAGGAGCGCTATGGCCCAGGGCCATGGCAAATCGGTGCTGCTCAAGCCATGGGGACAAGGAGCAAACAGCGCTCAGGGAGGGGCTGTGAAGGGAGGTAAAATCTCCCAGGTCATGCCCGCACCAACCCATCTTTTCCTTCCAGGTCCGTCCTCCTGCCAGGAATCCAGCTATAAAGCCATTCATCCAGTCACTTCCAAAAAGGCCCATGTATAGGTGAATGAGGCTTTGGGGGGACATTTAGATATAAACCGTAACAGGCTGGAACAAGCATTTTCTAATATTCTCCTGGCAGTGCGTGGGCCTCGGGATGATTTAACTGCGTTTCACAGGAAAGACACTGAGAAAATATAATTGCCACAGGTCCCATACGTGGCAATGGAGAGCTTCTCTCCCGGGACTCGGCTGCTTCCACTGCTGGGTGCAGGATCACCTGGCCTTGCGGCAGGGCTGACTGTCACAGGCACAGTCACTAATGTGTGCAAACAGACGGGCTCTAGGTTTGGGCCAGATGTCTCTTCGGAAGGGACTGATTGAGTGGCTCCAAGCTGAGGTAGCCACCGGAGGTCTCAGTGAATGACTTTTGAAACTGCTCTTCTCATAACAATAAAATAATCACTAGCGTATGTGATGTCTACTATGATCTAGCCGTGTGCTAAGTGATGCACTAATCTTGTTTTATTTAACCTTCAAAAAAGCCTGTAGTTGTGATCTCCTTTTATAGATACAGAATTATGGCCCTTGTAGATATAAAGCCCAAAGGCTCACAGCTAATCTCGGTGGTAAATCTTAAAAGCACTGTATTCAGATTCCTGCACCTTTATTTTCGACTCGAGCCATATGCTGCAGTAGCATAAGACTACGTGGACATAGAATTCTAGAGGGAAAAAAACAAAACAAAACAAAACAAGTTTTTGGTCAGCAACTCAAGTCTGCCCAAGGAAACATTGCAGCACATTGCTGGCCACTCTGACTGCCCGGCCCCTTGAATAGAGAGAGACTCTCTCTCCCATACGTACGGTTCTGTGCCACCTACTCTTGTCATGTACTGGCACAGGAAGGGCAGGGATTTCGGTCCCCAGTTCACAGGCAGAGAAACAGCCTTGAGTTGGAGAACTGACCTGGCAAAGATTTGGGTTTTCTCACTTTGTCCACCCCTCCTGAAAACACACAGCTTCTAATATATTAAATGCACTCAGTACATCAATCTTGGGTGTGGTTTTCAAGTTTTGAAGACTCCCCCCACCTGACTAAAGCGGTCAGAATCTCTTCTCGGCCTTTTGGCTAAGATCATGTGTAAAGCAGTCAGAATGTGTCAGCTCTTGCATTTTTTGAGGTTCACGGGTCCTCTTAGGCTAATGCCCCCCACTTGTGACCCAAATGCTTTTGAGCAAGGGAAGGTAGATATTTACTGAATGTGTATTACTCATTCATTCTCTAAACTCTTAAGTTCCACGAGAATGGGCATTACATCTTTTGGTTTTAATTAAACTTTTTACTTAGAGTATTTCTATACTAATAAAGACAGTTGTGAAGACAGTACAGAGAGAACCCGTGTAGAAGCTCCCCAGCTTTTCTGACAGTTACCAGCTCACACCACACTCTTTACTCCAGTGCCTACCGGGAACATGGTCAGGCCTTATTATGTGCAAGGCACACTAACTAAAATCACACCGCAAACACCAGGCTGTTATTTTCTCCATGTTCCCCTTCCCTGATATTAGGAATTGAACCCAGAGCTACTGAGCTAGATTCCCAGCCCTTTTATCTTGTCTTTTGTTTTGAGAGAGGGCCTCACTAAGTTACTAAGTTGCCCAGGCTGGGCTAAACTTGTGATCTCCCTGCCTCAGCCTCTCACAATGCTGGGATCACAGACATGCACCACCATACTTGATATTCTCCATCTTTTACAGGAAGAATTAGGGGCCCGGGATTTAGGTCAGGTTTTTTGCGGCCTGCCTCACAAGCGCAAGGACCCCAGTTTGATTCCCCACTACCAAAAAAAGGAAAGAAAGAAAGAACGAGGGCTCAAACCCAGTTCGCTCTGACTCCAAAGCTTGTCCATTTCTTCCTGTGTATCTCACTGCATCCTGTCAAAAACACTCCTTTGGGGAGGGCTGAGGTCCCACCCACGCAGCCTCTGTTTTGTGAGCCTCCTGAGAGCCTGCTGCCTTAGACGGGCTGTCCCCCTGGCCTGCATTATGCCTCCCCTCTGGAGCCACCTCACTCTTTCCTGTGCACCCTGGAGGTGAAGACAGGTCAGGGATGACTTAGCAGAACTGGAGTGAGCAGTGGCCTTTCCTTGACGGGAAAGATGGGCAGCCTGCTGGCTGCAGCACAGAACAAGTGTTCATCCTCCCTATTTGGCCAGCCTGGCAGTTGTTCCTGAAATCCGACTCCTGGTGCCATGGGGATGACCTTTGGTCTACTTCCCAGCATTCACCTGCACTCACGCTGCTCCAGAGAAGCTCGTTCAGAGAGTGGACAGGGTGGGTAGACACGCTGGTCATGAGTTAGCCATGCTAGTTAAGCGTGCTTTAATTGGTTTTACTGGCATGGTTAGAGAGATGGAGCGCATTTAAGAGGTAAGTGAAGTCAGTGAAAAATAATATTTTAAATGGTGAGTGCTTTTGCTCTTGACAGAGGAATTTTTCAGGACCGAAAAGTTGCTATCACTGTTTAAATGTTGCTTTAAAGGATTAGGGCTTTAAAAAGTAGGTCTCAAGACTCTGGAGTATTCAGACTCAAAGAAGGCTGTTTGTTTAACCAAAGCAATAGCAGCAAAGGAAAGATTTGAAGAAGCACTTGAGTAAGGGAGTCTGTCTGTGAGAGTTGCTGATGAGTTCTCCAGCCTGCTGCTGTTTGGAAGTGTGAAGGGTAGCCCTGGAAATGCGTGCTGTCTGTAGTGATGCCTGTTGACAGAACAGGAATCCAGTAAGCAATTGGGCTTAGTGCTGTTGCTAGGATGGGAAACATGGAAGGGGGGATTCAAAGACATGGTAGGAAACAGGACAAATGTGAGCACTCCCAGGGCTAAGTATTTGTCCCTCGATTTGCAGAAGAGGCTACCAGAAAAAATGAGAATAACTGATTTTTCATGCATTCAGCAAATATTGATAGACTGCTTCTTCCATGCCAGGTACTATTCTAGGATCAATTCTGGCCATCAAATTTGGGCTCTTGTGCACATTATTCAGAAATATGCAGTTGCTTTAGTTACTTGGAGCAGGAAAATAGGGTGGCAGCAACCATTTCCACTATACCATTCAGTAGGTCAGAGCAGGGTTCAAGAGCACCAACTCTGGGGCCAGAACATCTAGGTCCAATCCCAGCTGTGTGACCTTGGGTGTGAGACTTGTCTGTGCTCTTCTCGGTAAAAGGGGGTAATAAGGATTACATCAATTTAAATATATAAAGTGCTCAAAAGAATAGCACTTAAGGGCTGCGGATTTAGCTCAGTGGTGCCGCTGCCTGCCTCACAAGTGCAAGGTACCAAATCTGATCCCTGGTACCAAAAACAAACAAACAAACGAAAAAACAGTAGCACTTGGCACATAGAGAGAATGTTTGTAGTATGATGTCTGCTATTATTGTGATAGCAGAGAGGGTGCTATGTGTTGTATATTAATATTATTGCGAATAGAGCCTTGGACCTCAAGGCAGAAGACTTGGGTAGAAAACAACTAGTCTTTGCTTCTCATCTGGAAAATGCAAAACATTGTTTTGCCAGTGTGTTCAGTAAACACGGGTTTTGTAAGAGTAAGGGGGACATCAAAGCACTTCATAAAGGGCAGTGAAGGTGTCCTTCATGGGGCTATCTCTATTGCTTGCATTTCTTTGTTTTTTTGTTTATTTATGTATGCTTGAGATTAAAACTATATATAAGCATGTGCTCTACTACTGAACTATACCCCCAGCTCTGTCACTTTTATGGTTAATTTTTGCAGTACCCCGAGCCTTTCCATTGATCACAATCCCAGCCCTTCTTTTTCTTTTATGTTTTGCAACAGGGTCTCCCTAAATTGCCCCGGCTGGGCTTGAATTTGCAGTCCTCCTATCTTAGCCTCCCAGGATGCAAGGGTTCCAGGCATGCACTACCATGCCCACTTTATATTTTGACTGTTCAGATCTGTTTCTGCCAGAAAGAACTGCTACTGTTCCTGCAGATTAGCTTTCTGGTAGCCGAGGAAAGGGGCCTGCTTGGTGTTCTTCAGAGGCGAGTCAGAGCCCTCGTTACACTCCTTTCCCCCCTTAGTGAGAGCAGAGATCCATCTCCTTATTCCATCTGTTGTTTGCATCTGTCTGGACTGTGCAAAGTGCTAGCGTCTTTCAAGAATCACTTGAAAGAAACCTTAATCACGGAATCCAGAGCTTGGAGATTCAGCTGTGAAATTGCCTGCAGACCAGTGGGGATCATGTGGTGACTGGAACAGAGGCCTGGATGCCAGTGCTAGTAGCTGAGGTTTGTCTGACATCAGACAAGTGGGAATTGGGTTTCAATTTTTAAAATTCAGGAATCTGATATAAAAATACTACTCACGTTATACTGAGATTCTTGAGTTACAGTAAAATGCGAAAATCATGCATCTGAAGGTAGCAATAGTTCATGGATGACCGGGGAAGGGCACTTTACCGAGTGTGATTTCATGTGTGCGCTTGTCTCATACTGTCCTCTAGGTCTGGTTGCCTTCCCAGAGGCACAGATGGAGGCTGAGGCCCGCAGTTTGGGGGAGGGAATTCTCATTAAAGTATTCGTTAGAGCGGCATGGAGGTTGTTATGGCTTGTACGTAGCCATCATCTTGAACGTTGTAGCCAGTGGCCTATTGATAAATGCTTCTGTGTTTTCATAGATTTCCATATAACTTCTTTCCCAATTTCTCTCTCTCTCTTTTTTTTTTCTGGTTCAGAGGACTTCATCAGCTCAGAGTCCAAGATCCGTGCAGCCACCTGGGGACAAGAAGGGGAGAGATTCTCCCAGAATCCCTGACAGTGGGGACTTGTCCAGGTAGGGAGCCGGCTGTGAAGGGTGGACCCAGCCCGAGGTATGGCCAGCTCACTGCCTGTTTCAGTGTTTGCTTTGCTCGGTTTGCTTGGGGAAATTTTAAAATATGTGAGATCATCCTCAGTGCTGAGACATTGAAGCAATGGTTTGTACCCATCTTTGTGACTAAGCTTGCAGTGATTGGAAAATTCATAGATATTTTTTTCTGCCCTAAGATTAAATTAGTAATTATAAACTTCCATTACAGCAGCACTCCAGAAAGTTTAACTTCATAGTCAACTGAAAATGGGAAAGATCAAGGTTTCCAAGGGGCTTAATCCGAGGCCAAGTGGGGTATGTGTTCCCAGAGCAGGCCATGTTGGCACTGGATCATGAAACAGAGGTTTCAGACAGCAAATCCTCAAGCCAAGGAGCCTGGTAGATTAATTCCAGAAGTCACCAAGACCACACAGTGGCAATGGAACACGGCCAGCACAGATGTGGCTCATTCATCAGTGGTCCTCACTGGTTCCCTGCCGTGGCTCCCTACTGGAACTCTCACCACAGTGTCATGCACACATAGTTTTGGGGGTACTCAGGAGCAGAGGGCCAGAGGACTTGGGGGCTCAGTTGCCAGCATGGACATAGGGCAGGCACATTGGAGCCCACTAGTAACTACTTGTGGGTTCAGCTCATGATTAGGTGTTGGATCTGGTTACCATAACCTTTTTGAACAATAAAGCCCAGGTTCCAGGAGCCTATAATTACAGGCATTAAGGGAACAAACTAGAGTGTTATGCAACAAAAAGTAAACAGTAAGCCCCTTGTCATAGTGAAACTTTGGGCCACTTACAGCATGCTTCATAATAGCGTGTGTGTGTGTGTGTGTGTGTGTGTGTGTGTGTGTGTGTGTGTGTGTGTGTGTGTGTGTGTGTGTGTGTGTGTGTGTGTGTGTGCGCGTGTGCACACAAGA